TTGTCAAAAATGCAATGGCCATTCAGAGACAGATTCACTAGATTAAATCAAATATCAATTTTATTAAATCTGGAAACTGTAAGCAAAATCTAATTAAGTCATTATTAGAAAAAAACTTTTTTTGTGCATTTTCTCATTCCTGATTTTTTAAAAAAAAAGATTGATGAAATTCATGAATATTGGGGTGGTTCATCAAAATCATCATCAGATTTTATAACTTGGAGGTTAACTGTCATGGAGGTTAAAAGGATTGTTGGTTTAAGGTAAATTTATTATTAATAATTAGATTTGATATAAAAAAAATTACATGCATTAATTTATAATTTATTTATTTTTTAGGGTTGATTTTAATGATGAAGAAATTTCAACATTAAAGTTATAGATTATATTTATTATAATAATATAGAGTTAATATTTAATTTAATAAGAAGCATGATTTTTATATTTGTTACCTGAAATTGCCACGGAATCTTGACGTTATTGTTATCAATGACATTTAATTATGCAACAAATAAATGTAAAATGGAAATAGGATAACCTTCATAATAATTATACATACCAATTTTTATATCAATCAGATATCACAAATTCAAATACCATTATCAATACAAAATAAAACCATGCCATTAAAGCTTTCTAATGAATCCTTTCTAATATTGAAAAAAGCCCTCTATGTAAAGGTATAGTTATTCAAAATATGCATTACATTTCAAAGCTAAAATTTCCAGTATTACCTTTATAAACTTTGATAAGATGTAAAATATTATCCAATGTGGGCAGGAGATCATCGGTTGCCAGCCCATGCGGACAATTTCCGAAAGGTTACACCTTTATCCCTCAGTTCGTAGGGATAGAGTCTCAGCCTGGGAAAACATATAAGAGGGATATCCCCCCTTATCGATCTTATCGATGGGTATCTGTCGAATAATTCACTCAAGATCTACGGACCAGGTGATCAGAGATATATCCGTGCATTTATATTTGTCCCTCTCCAGACTAAAAGCTGTATCCCTCTGAACACAGGGATAAAGGTCAGACATACCTGGAAATCGTCCGCATATGGTGTCGGTTGCAGTGTTAAAAAAGGACCGAGAAAACTCTATTGAATGTCACCGCCAACACTATGATTCGAAAAGTACTTTAAAATTTACCGCCCACCTTATATTCGCATTAATAAGGAAGAAAAAAAGGTTACCGGTTACACTATAATTCGCAAAGAAAAATGTCACAGGTTACGCTGATTCGCTATGAAAAAAGGTTACCAGTCCTGTTGAAAACTCAGTATGGGGAATGGATGTAATGTTACATTCCAATCAAATTTTGAATTCCAGAAGATAGTTTCTAAATTTATACTAGTTACACGACGAAATTTGAAAATTTCAATACTAATACTAATACTAATTTATGCATGGAATCCGAAGTGCTACGACACACATTAATATTAATATTAATAGAATTCAGCGCATAATTCCATTACGGACACGTGACATATATAATAGCATAATAATAAAATAATTAATTTCCGTCAAAGGTAAGAATTGATGCAGGTCACATGATAAAAACTTGTAAATAAAATATTTTTTTATCAATTTGAGAGCAAAAAATTTATTCTTAATGGATGTTAATCCGTCACAAAATAGCTCTCAATATCAAGGTGATTATTGGAGCCAGAATAACGAATTTTCTTACCCCAACATTAATAATGACATTAATAATGAATCAAGCATTAAAGGTTAAATTAATATATATAGAACTGTCTCATATATATTTATTGTTAACAAATCTACCTTTTATACTCATTTATAGTTGAACCAATAAACCGTGCTTCAGATTTAGCAAATAATTTTTTATCTACTCTCACTCTTCCTACTGATTTATATACGAAAACTGAAGAAAATGCTGATCAAATGGGTATGAACTTTTTTCTTTTTAAACAAAAAAAAATAATTAAGGTTTAGCCTTATTGTATTTTTGAAATTAATATTTTTATATATTCATAATTTCACATGCAAACAATCTTTTTCTTTTGTTTTATTTGAGAGGTGGGAGGTTTTACATTATGATTTCTTATCAAGTACTATATTAATTGAGTAGTCTAGCAACTATCAATGAAAATTCTTTCTAGAAAAAAATTTTTTTTTTAACTATTTATTTATTTCATCTGGAGAAAATAGTCACTAATGCCATGATGTTATTGCTTTCTTTATATATACATTTTTTTTTATTCTTCTTATATTTGGTCATTGATCACATATAGTGATAAGTAGGTTCTATTTTCCTTAATATTTTCAACAAAAAGAAAATTTTGTATTGATTCCCAAAAAAATTTCTTGTATATAAAACACAAAATATATATTTTTATTTCCATTTTTCTGTTTTTATTTAAGCAGCGCAGCTTAGCATCGAACCTATTGAATATGTTTGCATGAAAACTTGTCGGGATAATACATCAATTAGGACCTCCTCAATCTTTTTTTTTTTTAGGTCATACTAATAAATTCAAATAATTTAATTTAATCTTTCTTTTTATATATACAAATATGTTATTTTCATGATCAATGTCACTGTTGTTTAACAGTTTTTCATACAAATGAAGACCAAATTTTTCATCATCGTGATCGTACTCATGAAAGAAGTGAACAACATCGATCCAAAGAAAATGATGATTGGGACTGTCGTGAAAGGAAAAAGGATAGAGAAAAGGACAGAAATAAAGATAAAGAAATTGATAGAGATCATGATAGAGAAAGAGATTTTGATAGAGACAGATATCGAGAGAAAGACAGGGACAGGGATAGGGATAGGGACAGGGACAGGAACAGGGATAGGGATCGTGACCGTGATAGAAGTCACAGGCGGAGAGAAAGAGAGAGAGAACGTAGCCAAGAAAGAAGTAGAAGAGATAGAGATGATAGAGATGATAGAGATCGTAGGCGACACCATTCAAGGAGAAGTCATAGTTATAGCCCAAAACATCGATCTAGATCTCGATCAGTAACTCCTATTAATAGAAGAAGAAGGAAGTTAAACAATTGGGATGTGGCACCACCAGGATATGAAGGAATGACAGCAGAGCAGGTTAAAGCCACAGGTCTGAATTTTTATTATTGTTATTATTTTTTTAAAAAAAAAAGGATTTCTTAATTCTTAAATATAAATGAATCAGGATTTTTTCCACTTCCTGGACAACCTGCCACTACAAGACCATCAGCGGTCCCAAATTCCCCAATAATATCTGGAATGGATCCATCAAGGGCAGCAATGATATTGGGTATGACACATGAGCTTCCACCGCAGTCTAAAGTTAGTCAGGGAGCAGCAGGTCCAGTTGCACAGACTGCATCATTAGCAAGACAGGCTAGACGACTTTATGTTGGTAATATTCCATATGGTATTGATGAGGTAATTTTTTTTTTAATAAATTCTTTTAAACTTCTGGAGTTATTGTTAATATTACTATTATTGATACAATAGAATGGCTTATCAGAATTTTTCAACACTACAATGCTTCAATTGAATATTACTACTGCATCTAGCAATCCAGTTACAGCTGTTCAAATCAATCATGATAAAAACTATGCATTTGTTGAAGTAAACCATTATTCCCATTTTAAATAAATAAATATTAATAACTATGATTATTGATATTAAATTATTTTATTCATTATTGTTGTATAAATTCTTTTTGATAGTTTCATGCACCTGAAGAAGCTACAGCTGCAATGGCATTTGATGGAATTACATTTCAAGGTCAATCATTAAAGATTCGTCGGCCAAAAGATTATCAACCTCCACCTGGGCAAAATCTTGAGCCACCACCAATACATGTGCCAGGAGTTGTATCTACAAATGTACCAGATAGCCCAAATAAAATCTTTATTGGTGGTCTACCAACCTATTTAAATGATGAACAAGTTATGGAACTTTTAAAATCTTTTGGAGAATTGAGAGCTTTCAATTTAGTTAAAGATACTTTATCATGTGTCTCTAAGGTTTGAAAAACAATAAAATAAATATGTTATATGTGTATTGATTTATTTAATTTTACTTATATTTTTGGGAATTTATTTAGGGATTTGCATTTTGTGAATATGTTGATCCAAGTGTGACAGATTTAGCTTGTCAAGGTTTAAATAATATGGAGCTTAGTGATCGTAAATTAGTAGTTCAGAGAGCTAGTATTGGATCAGCTAAGAACTTGGGTGTTTCAATGGTTCTACCATCTTCAGTTCTTATTCCAGCTGGAAATGGAGAAATGCAGCCAACTACTGTTCTTCAACTTCTTAATATGGTTACTCCTGAGGAATTAGTAGATGATGAAGAATATGAAGGTTGTTTTATTACTATTACTATTATATTTCATTAAATATCTGCTTTTCATTTATTCTTAATAATCAAACAAAACTATGATTATAACAATTTAAAATAGATATAGTTGAGGATGTTAGAGAAGAATGTTCTAAGTTTGGTTCTATCATTGATATGAAAATTCCTAGGCCAGGCCAATCAACTACTGGTGTTGGCAAGGTATATTGATATTATACATATTGATGTTATTTATTTTAATAAATTCTAATAATAGTTGCATTTATTAAAGATTTTTGTAAGGTTTGATTCTGCAGAGGCAGCTGGTATAGCACTTCGAGCACTTGCAGGAAGAAAGTTTGCTGAACGTACAGTTCTTACATCATATTTTAGTGAAGAGCAATATTTTGCAGAAGACTTTTAATTATTATTATTTTCCTTATATATTTATATTATCTGTCAATTACTTAATTTAGGTTTAAAAATAAAATATGTTATAAATTAAGAGTTGAGTTTAGTCACGTGATTTTGTATCATATTAAGACATAATACTAGGACCAGTTGATGCCTAACCATCTTATTATAATAATAAGTGATGATCATCGTGTTTAACAAATATATTTTCGAAAAGAATTTGTTGCCATATATATTTATTACACGCATGATACGAAACGAATATATATAAAAAAATTAAAGAATATGCGCGAACGAACATAAAAGAGTTGAAGCCAACGAATACGGCGAATAATCAGTTTTAAAGGAAAACTTTAACTTTATTCCCTCCGACTTTGATTCATGAGGAAAGAGACAAATAGACTTTCTGACCGAAAGTCATTAAAGGATTTACAGGGAGCGAAATTTCTTATTCAGTCAATTTTTGTTTGAATATGTGAAAAAATGAAGTTTAAACGCAAATTTGATAATACAGTACACTCTCTCTATAACGGCCTTTTCTATAACGGTTTACACACTATAACGAATTGAGAATTGAATCCCAATTTTTTACTATGTATATAAAAACTCTACTCTATAACGGTCAATGTATAGCTCCTGTGTATGTATATGTTTATATAACTCGATTTTTTGTGTAACAAATAGTTGCGAGAGAATTTTATTATAAGATATTACAAATAAAATAAAAAAAAAAGACTTCAACTATACCTGCTTTCGGGCTAGCCTAATTACATAACATCAACCCTTTGCCCCCTAATTTAAAGGCAAACTAGAATACATGTGAAGAGACCATCATGCAAATAAGGGGTGGTTAACTATTGAAATAAAATTTTAAGAAACAACCGCCTAACCTACATCCCAACATTAGACCATAATTCTGACTTAATCCTAAATTATTACGATTTATATTATTATGACTAAATACTATGTTTGAATTATTACGCTTCTTCTTTTCCTGTGTATTGATACCCATCTCTTTCCAGATGTGTTCTTTGCAAACATCTTGTGAGCGGTGTATATGTTTATATAACTCTATAACGGCCGATGATCATGATCTGAAATTATAACTGCTAAATTAGAAAATTTTCCGTACCATATTAAAATTGGATGTGATTGATTAAAATAAAGGTGGTCTAATAATAAATACAAATAAATCATATTAATATATGATGATAAAGATGTTTATGAGTGATAATTGGTTGACTTGCTGAGTTAACATAGTAAAATAATAACTGATAATAAATAAATTAATTAAGCCAGAACTGGGTATGTTGAAAATCATTTAACACTAACCGTTAACATCAACAATTAAAATTTTTTTTCTATGACTCGTTTGAACCTAAACGGAAAAGTGTGAAATAGGTTTAGCCAATTTGATTTGTACATTAAAATTATCATTATTATTATTGTCTCGCCCGTAACCAGATTGAATTGTTACGTCACCATTATATGGTTTTTTATGTAATAGTGAATCAATCAACATGTTAATTGAATTTTGAAATCTTATAAATACGAGCATCTTTTTCTTCACACACACCTACGATTAAAGAAAATAATATTCTTTTGAAAAAAAAAAATTTTTTTAGAGTCACATAGTCTTTTTTCTTCTTCACCGCTCGCTAGCACTAATAATAATAAAAAATGAAAGGTGAAAGGTAATCAATCAATTAATAAAAATTGTGCAAACACACAATTTCCAACTAATTAATTCCTTATTATACTTTTTAATATATGTGCAGCATACAAAACCTAATTATTATTGCAGACACTCCTACCCCTCAACATTAACATCAACATCGTCATCGTCATCATCGCATTCCTTCTCTCCGTCATTCTCGTTCACTCTACCATCATTCTCCTCCCTCCTCGTAATCATCAACTATTCTGACAATATTATTATCGCCACCAGAGGGAGGCGAGAGATGTAACAATAACAATAGTATAATAATAATAACAGCAGTAATAATAATAGTAATTGCAACAATAACAGTAGCTGTAGTAGCAGCAATAATAGTAATAATGATTATAGTTAAAGTTTTGAACGAGCCGGTTTATACTTGCCCGAGCCAACTCGAAATTTAATATTATTTTTTTATAAAAATCACGATTTTGCAGACCATTGAATAATTATGAAAGTAAAAATAACAATAAACTATAATGAATTATATAACATACTTGAATTCATCATCAATAATTTTATGACAGATTAAAAATTTCAAATGGGAACAATTCAAGTTTCCATGTTTTAACAATATTTGTGCTTTATAATAAATGCATAAAGTTAAACCTCGTTTCAGCGAATCTATGAGACAATATGTTTATATAATTATATATACCAGCATTGGCGAGCACCTGTGTAGCTGTAACACCAGCCCCTTAAAATGCAGATCTCGATTCCCCATTTATGTCACCCATGATGATAATAAATAATGTTTAATTTTCAGCTGAGAAAAAATTTATGAACAAAATGATAAAATCTTCGTGTAATAATAACAACAATAATGATATAATCCCACCTTCGAAACCACCAATTACATCAAATTTTTTCACCTCACCTTTTAGTTATCTAAATGATATGGCGAGAAATCTTCTAATTCGTATTTTATGTAATGGACCCATACCAAAGCATATTGGTTTTATTATGGATGGCAATCGCAGATTTGCAAATAAAATGAAATGGCAAGCAAAAGAAGGACATTATGAAGGGTTTTCTAGTCTGATTAAAGTAAATTAATGAATAAATCAATGGAAAAGGTTTCACTTTATTTATTTAAAGCAATGTAGTTAATATATTTAGCTTGTTTTATTTTAGATTTTAGATACATGTTTAAAACTTGGAGTTAAAGTGGTAACTGTATATGCATTCAGTATAGAGAATTTCAAACGATCAAAAGATGAAGTTGATGTATTGATGGAATTAGCAAAAGTAAAAATGATTGAAATATGTGAGAAAAGGTAAAAGGGATTTATTGATGTATGTGGTGTGAAAGAAAGAAAGAACAGGTTAATTGATTAAGTAGCTCAAATTTAATAATAATATTTCTTAGGGAGTTATTAAAAGATCATGGATTTTGTATAAGAATATTAGGAAATTTATCATATCTTTCTAGTGAAATCAAAGAACTTGTGGAAAAAGTTGTTGAAGCTACAAAACATAATGACAGGTATTTTATTTGAATTTTATATTTAGATTTTATTTATATATTATTAATTCATCTATTCAATCTAACTAACAATGAGATACTCTATATTATTAGAGCAACCTTGAATATATGTTTTCCTTATACTTCAAGAGATGAAATGACCAATTCAGTTAAAATTATTATGAAAATGATTGAAAATGATCAAATTCAAATAAAGTTAATATTTTTATTTCATTCTTGTTAAATTTTGCCAATTTCTTGCTAATTTCTCTTTAATTAGTGATATAGATGAAAAATTATTTGAACATTGTTTATATACCAATGAATCTCCACCTTTAGATATATTAATACGTACATCTGGAGAAATTAGATTAAGTGATTTTCTTTTATGGCAGGTAAATACATAATGTCTATCAATTTATAATGATATATATTATTATCATATCGGCTGATAATTCTTCTTCTTCCACTCTCTTATTATTATAATTAGTGTCATCAGAACTGTTACATACATTTTGTAAATTGTTATTGGCCTGAATTTTCACTTTGGAACATGTTACCAATTATTCTGGAATATCAATTATCTTTTGCAAGTTTACAACATAAAAGAAAAAAATCTCAAGATCACTTATTACATTTAAAATTAAAGAAAAATCAAATTGAATAAAAAAATTTTATTAACGAAATTTTAAGTGTTACAAAGTGATTTGTGTAGTGTATATCCCCAATTTCAAAATGGTTACGCGATTTTTTAATAACAAAAATTCTTATTTTTATCTTTTATTTTGTGTCTAATTCAGACATCTCATGTTTGTTGCAGTGCGAATAATGCGCCTATAAATAATATTCAGCTTAATATTAACGAATTCACCTTGTAAGCCAACTAATTTATATACAACATTCTTTTGATAATGAATTTCAAATTATACCTGTAGTCGACTTTTATTTTGTTACACGAGAATTTTCTGAATTGTCACTTAATTTTTGTTTGTGATATTTATAGTTTTTTCTATACAATTAATATCAACAATCTTAAACAAAAGAAGTTTTTTTTATAATATAAAAAAATTATGGATTTTGAAATGTCGTCTGAGCAGGAACCTATTGAATCTGTTAATAATAATATAATACCAAAAAATAACTCTGGATCACCTGTGGTGACTACAACAAAAACTGTTTTTATAGAAGAAAACGAACAAATGGAAACAATCGAAGATTCAAAAATGAAGACTACTATTACTACCACTACTGATGCTGGAGTTGAAATAATAACTGATACGGCTAATATACTCACCACCACAGAACAAACCATTATGTTTGATGAGGAAGAAAAAACAAGACTTGAGGAAGAAGCTCGTAAATTTTTATCTTTACAAGCACAAGAGATTGTCATACCATCATATTCTGCCTGGTTTGATATGGCCAAAATTCATAATATTGAGAAAAAAACCTTACCAGAATTTTTCAATAATAGGAATAAATCTAAAAATCCAAGTATATACAAAGAATATAGAGATTTTATAATTAATACTTATCGACTCAATCCTCCAGAATATTTAACAGTCACTGCTTGTCGTAGGAATTTAATTGGTGATGTGTGTGCAATTATTCGTATACATGCTTTTCTTGAACAATGGGGATTGATAAATTATCAAGTATTTATATATTTTTTTTCATATATTTTTTGTGTGTTATGTATGATATGCATTTTATTTAATTTTAATAATAATAAAAATAGGTAGATCCTGATACACGTCCATCATGTGTTGGGCCTGCTTTTACAGGACATTTTATTATTACTGCAGATACACCAAGAGGTCTTCATCCTTTTCAACCAACTGTTTCTATCACTCCATCAAATTCAAATTCATCTAACCTTAATAATAGTAGTAATAATAACAACAACAACAGCAATAATAGTACAGCCTCATTATCAATTGATGCTACGAATATTATAAAACCCAAAATCGATTCGTCATTTGGAATTCGTCAAAATATATATCAAACAAATAATACTACTGCTAACGATACCATTACCACATCAATTGAACATAATGAAAATGATGAAAATGAAAACAGCAATAATAATAATAACAATAACAATAATAGTAGCACCAATAACAGTAATAACAAGAATAATGAGATAATAGGTGAAAAAAAGCAATTTAATTGTTTCACATGTAAGGTTGATTGTACTCGATCTCGTTATCACAGTCTGACAAGTCAAAAATTAGATCTATGTCCTAATTGTTATCTAGCTGGACATTATCCTACTCCAATGCATAGTGGCGATTTCTTAAAAATGGATGAGACACCATTTAAACATGCTCAAGATGAAGAATGGACAGAGCAAGAGACTTTAGCACTTTTAGAAGGAATCGAATTGTATGAGGATGATTGGCTCAAGATTGCTGAACATGTGGGTACACGTACTAGAGATCAATGTATTTTACACTTTTTAGAAATTCCTGCTGAGGATCCATTCAATGGAGCCGTAATGAAAAATCTGGGGCCGCTCCAGTATCAAAGAATACCTTTTAGTCAAGCAGATAATCCGGTATTGTCAGTTGTTGCATACTTGGCATCTATTGTCGACCCTAATATCGCATCAACAGCAGCTAAATCAGCAATCAAAGAATTATCATCTGTTAAAAGCTCATCATGTAATCTAAAAGAGTCTAATAATGGTGATTCCAATAGAACACGGACCAATGAGAATTTAGATAATAACAATAATGACAATAATACAGATATTAAAGTGAAAAATGAAGATTCAATGGATACAGAAGTTGCAACTGAGCCAACAAAGCAAGATATATCACAAAATTCTGATATGATTTTATCAACAATGACGACGACGACGACGACAACAACAACAATAGACACTATAGTTACTCAATCAAGATTGTTGGATAGAACAGGAGCAACAGCAATTGGAACGGCAGCAGCAAAGGCCAATGTTTTGACAGATTATGAGGATCAAGAAATACAAAAACTTGTTAATGAAGTTATCGAGAATCAATTAAAAAAACTTGAACTTAAACTTCAACAGTTTGAAGAATTAGAAAGTGTTATCGAGAATGAAAAAAAGGAATTAGAAAAACAACGTCAACTGTTTTATCTTGAACGTTTACATCTTAAAAAGAATAATTTGATTCTACAAAAACAAATAAAAAATGGAACTATTAGTAGTATTAATAATAGTGACAACAACAACAACGACGACGACGATAATAATAGAGTATTATTATCTACAGCTGAATATCAACAAAAGCAACAACAATTACAGCAACCACCGATAGGACCATTAATCAAAGAGGAAAGTAAAATCCTGGAACTTTAGAAAAAAATTTATTTTTCTAAAGATTTTCAAGAACAATAAATTCATTTAAAAAATTTTTTATTTATATGTAAAAAATATTATTGTATATTAATGAATTTATTATGGAATTAGTTTTATTATTTATCTTGGGGGAAAAGGATGCATGAGTTGTATTGATTATTAATTCACCGATTGATTAAAAAAGAGAATTTCTTATACCTATTATTATCACCGCGTTAGGATAGATCATCCAATTTCCAAATCGAAAGCACGTGTAACAATATAATTTAATATAAATTTTTCTCTAAAGAAAAGTTTAGATTTTCTTAGAAAAGTTCAACAGAACTCAAATCAGTATGATAAATAAAGAAATTTTTCCTATATATAATCTTTTTTTTTCTTTTTCTCAGCAAAATAAAAATTATTATCACCTAAAACCTTTTAATTAAAACTTTATATTTAATATGTCACCAATTGCTTTACATCTTATGCCTTCAACAGAAATTATAGTAACCAACACACTTATCGTTACCAATCTTGACCGTTCAGCATTCTTGGCTGAGAATTTTATGAAAATTAAAGCGAAATTTGAACAATATGGGTCAATATACAAATTAATTCCAATCAAATCATTTAATCGTATGTTGGTGATTTATTTTCAAACTTTAAACGCAAAAACAGCCAAAATTCATTCTGATAAAATGATTTTTATGAATAATGTCGTTCGAGTTTATTATGGATTGGTAAATATTTTGTTTTTAAAACAGAGAAAAAAGAAAAAAGTATTATTAATTGATTAATAAATTTAATTTTTTTCTTATTGTTAATCATATTAATAGCATACACCAGTTTATGACGACGAATCATATAAGTCAAAAAATCATCTTAATATACCAGAATTAGAAAAAAATTGGTCGACTTCACCACTAGGATCACCACCTGTACCCGATCCAAAAACCTTAGTATTAACTGATGATTTAGCATATAAACTTGTAAATATTCATTTAAATAATAGTATTAGTAACGTTGACAATGATGGTAGTTATAATGAAAGTTTCAATGTGACAAGTTTACGATTTATATCGCCGCAGCCATCAACAAAAATTGATTTAGGAGCAGATAATACTCATAGGGATGATGTTCCTATGATTTTCATCCAAGATTGGGATGATTCGTCATCACCATCACCATCAATCACATCAACACCAAGACCGCAAATCATATATTAAAAAAAAATTTTTTTATCTGTTATTGTTATTAGATTATTAGAGATTTGTATAAATTAGATATGTTAATTTAAACATAAATAGATTTAGCTCTTTTTTTGGCTAAATTTTTTATATAACACTGTGACTATACAGAAAGATCCAAAACATTCTTATTTCTTAATAAAAAAATCTTTTCAAGAGCTTTACGTTTATTAACAAGTGAACTATATAATCAAAATCTTTCAGGACCACGTGATTCACGATTATAACACCACTTAAATTTAATATTATTTCTTTCCCAAATAATGACATCTGGCATCTGATATTTTTTATTCGGCTTTGATTAAAGTTGTTATAATGTAGTGATCATTCCAACTTTCCTTTTTCTAAAGTCAATCTCGTCCCCTAATTTTTTTATTGAATCATATTTCGGGTTCAGAGTCGAATCAACTATTATTGCTTTTAACTTATTGAATAGATTGCATTGAGGCTTTCTCCATTTTTTGTCGATTCCATTAAAACTTCCCCTGTGTTCAAAGACGTGGTGTCTAAATGGTCAACACATAGAAAGCCACATAAATATGGATATTTTGTTATTTTTAATATTATGATGTTTGTTATCATTTAATTATTCCTTGGTTTCATCGAAAGAGACTCCCACCCAATTGCTTCTCTTGTATTTGAGATATTGATATGCAAGTAAATTAGAGCTTACTATTACGATCAAACCAAAATTTTGGGGCCGTAGATTCACAATTGTACGGAGTGTATGGTGATGAAACACTAATTCTGTCCGTGCTATTGGTTCAAGTCATTTCATCTATAATTTTAGAAGATCTTTCTAATTAAGTAATCTGATCTCTTTTATTAACCATATTGGAAAATTTTCCGTATCACGAAAAAGAATAAATAGAAAATAAAAAATAGAAATTAAAATTATGTAAAAATAGAAATAAAAATTAAATTGTTCCGTAATTAGAGGTTCGGCCAAAATATCTGCGTTAGGAAAAAATATGGGCAGGAGATTATCAGGAGTAATGACCAAAAAGAGATAATTAATTTCCAAATGCGGTAATTTGGTTGATAAACTTTAGCACCAAGATTTTTTCTATTTTATTAATAACCTTCCCCTAATTTTTTTCTAGAAGGAGGAATAAGCCTCGAAAATCTACGTGTCAGATTGTTGGGCGTATTAGTATAGTTGAACACTATACGACACTATACGATACTTTACGTATTAATATAGTACGTATAGTACGTATATATAGTAGTGTTGAAATTTGATTGGGTGATTTTCCAATGTAATACAAAACTGAATAATAATAATAATAAGAAAAAAA